GCGCCACTAGTCTTTCGTTCGGGGAGGGTTGCATGCTCTGAGGTGGAGATGATGATGAATTCGTCCTTCATTGGTTCTGGGAGTGGGGTAGTTACGGCCTTCCTCAGTTCTAGCCGAGCCACTCGCCTTTGGTACAGGTCCATCTTCCAGGCCCTGGTCTCGTCTTTCGTCCACCGGTGGTTTAGCTCAACTCGTCCAGTTTTCCAGTCTATCTTGGGGTTTTCGAGCTTGAGCCAGGTATGGCCAAAGATGATGTCTTCCTTGCCGATGCTGGCAATGTAGGCTTTGACAAATCAGGGTTCTCCGCTTATCTTGTAAGATAAGAGAGCTCTTCGCGTGATGAGTGCTTCTTTGTTCGGAGTTCCATCCACATTGAAGACAGGGATGGGTCAGGGAAGAGGTTCTGTCTGAAGTCGATGCTCTCGGATGAATCTTGGGCTGATGAAGATTCTGGTTGCACCACTATCGATAAAAGCATGCACCTCGACGTCTTTTCATCCCACAGTAATCGGAATGTGCAGAGCGCATTCATTTCAGACTACTAGAATTACATGGGACAGTGAAACGGATACGGGCAGTGGTTGTGTCGGCTCACCCTGCCCCTTCAAAAATCCTCCATCGTAAGTTCTTCGTACAGCTCCCGCTTCTCGTCAGCGGAGAGTGTCTTGATTCTGGCGTGGAAGTCGTCCTTCCCTTCAGGAGTCCCTTGACGAAGTTGGCATGGAGAGTGTGGTAGTCGTTCTCAGTGCGGTTGGTGCCATTGACCTCGGCGTCCTTGAGCTGAGCCTTCGATGCCAGCTGCTCGAAGCGGGTGACGTAGTTACCGAGGGAGAGTGCTGTCTTCCTATCCCTCTGTCGTTCAGGCAGTTTCATCAGGATTTGATGTGCCTTAATTTGTGTTCCGTGCTCAGGGAACGCCTCTTCTAGGGCGGCGACGAAATTTGCCCACGTGGAATAGACCTGGACTCCCCCTGCTAACTTCTCATAATACACGTCCGCCCATGTTTTCCCCAGATCCTTCCTCATTAGCGCTACAGTGAAGGTGATCTTTGCTTCATCGCTGAGTCGGGTGTTGTTGGTGGCGACGAAATAGGAGAGGATGCATTGGATGAAGCGTCTGAGGTCCTCTGCCTTCCCGCTGAAGGGTTCAGGAGTGGGGATGTCGAGATGAAGGGGTCGGTTGGTAGTTGACTGTTGGAATTGGTATGCTACGAGGGCGACAGCGACGCACTGATTGATGTCTTCTTGAGTGAACATTGCCATAGGGACTTCAACTGGTGTGTTGGTTGGTGCGGGTGGAGCTGGTGGTAGTTCGATGTCTGGGATCTCGATGGGGACATACTGAACTTCAGGGAGTTCAAGTGGTTGTTCGCTGGTGGGTGATTGCGCGCTTTCTGCTGTTTATGTAGGTTCAATGTCGATCCGTAGGATGGTGAATACGTCTTCTGGGTGAGCAGGTGGGTGTCTCTGGTAGTAGCTAAGGAGTTCTTGATGGGCAACAACCTGTGGGTTTGGACTGGTTGCACGACACCAGGTGCCTCCTCAAGGGTATATGGGAGCCCTTTTTGTGGAGGTGACGAAGCAGTGATCTGCTCGGTCATACTGGAGGAGCGGTGATCCTGCGAGGGCTGGTAGTCCCAAAGAAACCAGGTTGACTGTGTTGTTTGACGTAATGGTGGATGGGATGTTCGACTAGGTAAAACTAGGAACATAGCTTAGAAAGTTCGACCTTTTGATACAACGGTCTATACTCCTGTATCGATGCCTGACTCGTAGACGACGAGTGAGGACTTATGGACAGTGCGTTGTCCTGAAGATCAAGCTAGGAAGTCAAGAATGACCACTACCCCAAGCGAAGAGGAGCAGATATCAAAAGGCGACGCAGGGAGTAGTTGCACAAGACTAGCACTAAAGGACTGAATGCCACAAGTGGGGCTGAAGTCGAAGTGGGTCACAGAAGTGTGTATTAAAGGGTCGCTACAGAGCTCTTTATATACATGAGCAAGGGAAAGCATTCCCACGGCAGAACAATAAGGAAAAGAACAATAGAATCCAAAAGTAGAACAAGGGCCACTTGGCCACAGGAACAATGGAACAAGAGAAGTGTGGCCGGAGCTGTGCTCTTGTCCGATTGCTCCGCAATTGACACAACCATGTGGTCACATGGTGTGGTGGCTCCCGCCACCGGGGGATCGTCCTAGGCCAACCAGGGGACTGT